GGACTTTAATGGGAAGATTGAGATTTAATTTAAGAGTTTTTAACTGGGCTTCGTGTTACATGTGAAGATAAGATACCGTCTCCACCCTGATGATAAACAATAATTAGTCTATGCTTCTAGCTTGAGATTGCTGGAGTGAATGTCAAAACAAGATATAAGCCCTCCCGACGTTTTTTTTTTTTGTTTTTTTTTTGGGGGGGGGGTTATAGTTTGAAACCTTACTCTCCTGCTTGTGTTTGGAGCCCTTTAAAAAATCTCTAATTGAACAGGTGTATATTTGTGCAATGGGGGACATTTCTCGTTCATGCACAGTAGAATTGTAAATGGGCTGATTCATCATGTCACGCTCATAACTGTGCCTGATCTGCAACAGGGAACTGCAGCCTTTTCTTTCCTAATCCTTACTATTGTCATTTTCCTCTACTTCTTTTGTATGTTTGTCACTCTTGTGACATGCTATTTCCGGGGTGCCTTGATGATCGAAGCAGATGTTGTGCTTTTGAAGCTAGAGAGGTGAGCAGAGTAAGTGTGATTCCCTGTAAGGACTTCTCTGTTGACAACCACCACTTGGCGCTCATATGACCTTATGCAGTTGCGAGCGCCGTAAAACCCTCTACTATTAAAAAAAAAGATATTGCACCTGGTCTAATTTCAAAAAAAGAAAGAAAAATACAGTCTATATTAGTTGTGTACATTAAGGTATTTATAGGCATTTATTTTTGTTACTTTGTGCCTGTTTCATCGATCACATACCGTCCAATCAAAGTCCATAATCCATTTGTACTGATAACTGTCTTCCTAATACTTTGTTTAATATTTCGATTTTGGCTACTTTTTCCGTTAGTTTTGGTATGCTAACAGACATCTACTGTATTACTGTATACTTGCCCAAGTGTGTTCACCAGATTCACCATTGCTGAGGTACGTATTTGTGATAATATGTAGAAGAAAAAAAAAGAAAAAAAACTTTTGTTAATTTTTCTTATCGATTCAGATAGCCGCGGGCGTATTCAAATATTACAGTCTATTTTAAGCACGAGCAGAGAGCGTATTCAAATATAAGTAATCTGTTCTACATACAATTAGAGAGCATTAAAACGACCTTTATGGTTGAAAGTTGACTCATCCATAGTTTGCCTCGAGACAGTGAGCTTTTTAAAAAATATTCTTATTGGGTATTCAGGGGATATGAAAGAAGGATATGGCTATATGAACAAGGTCCTGACTGACGTGTATTTTCTATAAAAGTCATTGACAGCGGCAAATCTTTCCCATAAAGATCTTATTGGCGCCCCTGGTGATCGGGATAATTTCAAAATTGTTCTGCTCCCACTATATGGGAGAATGGTAGTATCCATGTAATAATAATAATAATGATGATGATGATAATTTTTTTAAATAGATAAAAAAAATATCAACATATCTATGTAATAATAATAAGGAAGAAGAAGATTGATGATAATGATTATGATAATAATTATAATAACAATAAATAGCTTCTGAATACCGCAAATTCTCGCTTAGCAGCAAGCTCTGTACGTTTTACAATCTATATCATGACCCCAGCAGACCTGATTCGTATTCTGAAACAATCTGGACTTCCTGTGAAGCTTAGAGTGCGAACTCCCAATTTGACAGGCGCTAAAACTCTAACGTGCTTTGTCTGTCTGTCTGTCTGTTTGTCTGTCTGTCTGTCTGTCTGTCTGTCTGTCTGTCTGTCTGTCTGTCTGTCTGTCTTCTCCCCTGTTCGAAATGACCGATATTGTGTCGATGTGCTTGCTTCTCGTTTTACTCTGATATCCTTCCCAACAATCCGAGTTTGCGCACTTGAAATTGAAGTCTCCGCGAACGGTGCAAGGGAGGGGTGATTTAGCCTCACATTCACGCCATTGATTTCCCTCCCACATAGATCTAGTGTTGACAAATGAAAGGAAATTTACAAAATAGTATTTGTGTTCGGCGTTCTTTCCTCTCTCGAAATATTGATTTTGTGGGTGGTTGGCGGGTGCTCTGGTGTGGTTTGCTTCTTCTTTCCTATCAAACATCTATCGTCCTTATATCCCCTTATTCTTTTTTATGTTTGTTATTCTCTTGTAACACCTCTATTCTTCTGGTGCTCATATGACCTTATGCAGTTACGAGCGCCGTAAAACCTCTACTAAAACAACAAAGTAATCGAAAGTTGTTCTTTCGGTGCTTGCGTGACAACCGACAGGCAAGCGGTTTCGCGTCGTCTACAACCAGACCGCGTGTCGCGGAACGAACTCCCTCCGCCTCCAGTCTCGTCTCCTCCAATCCACCGCGTTGCCTGCCGCCGCGTCGCCGCGTCGCGCGTCGCGGTTTGGGTTTCGTTTATTTCCCTCCTCCTTCCTTCCTTCGGAAACATTTCTGTTCGTTCAGGTCTCTAACCTCATTCTTATCTCAGCTACAGCTGCTGGCGCGGCGGCTACCACTATAGTATAAACGTGAAACGCACACCCCACTCCCTCACTTGGAGTTTAGATCTACTGGACTGCTCATATTATTTGGAAGAAGTGTGAAAGTAGTGAAGGCTAGAAACGTTTTTCGATTGTCTTTGCGGATGTTGCAGTTGTAAAGTGGTCGACGAAGTGGACGCGCGCACAGACGGGGCTGGATATCGTGGCATGTTGTGTAAGTGAAAAAGACTCGTCGATATACTAATACTAATAGTAAATAGTAGCTTGTTGTTATTGATTGACTTCTCGTCCATATTATCCTTGTTTTCGACCTTTTATTTTGTTGGGTATTTCTTGATCTTAAAAAAAATCTGTTTTTTTCTCTCTCGTTGCTGCTGTTGTTTTTCTTGACTCTTTTGTATAGATCTAGATAGATCTACATGAAGATCTAGACTCGGTTGTTGTTGTTTTTTAACTTAGTTTTATGCACCCGTCTCATGTACACGTTTTATATACTTTTTTTTCTAGATTAGAAGTATATTGCATGCCGAACACGAATATGGCCTTCATTTTTGCCGCAAATAAATAGTTATTGAGTTATTGATGTTTGAAAAAAGTAATATTTGACTTGTTTTTTACAACAATCAAAAGGGGTTTCATGGGAGCATGCCTGCATTTCACAATCAATGATTTGATGTTTTGCTATTAGGATTGCCCCATTGGTATATTTACTTGAAAACAGTTGTTTGCAGGGGTTTTAGTGGCCATACGTGTATTCTACAGCAAAAATTATGTCAGTTTAGCTCTCAAATCAATGCATATGTGTGTGAGTGCATTTAAAGTAAAAATTTACCCAAAGGTGGTGTTGTGGTGTGTGTTTGTAAGTGCCTACGTGCGTGCGTGTGTGTGTCTGTGTGTGTGTGAGACAGACAGACAGACAGACAGACAGACAGACAGACAGACAGACAGACAGACAGA